GTACTTTTTTTTGGAACAGTATGGAGCAGACAGGCCGCCCTGGGGCCACGGGTCCTCCGGCGATTGGCCCTGGGCCCCGGTGCGCGAACTTTTCCGGGGCCACCAAACCCACGGCTCCGTCCAACGAGCGGAGGCTTGGAAATACACGTCCGCCCCGGGTTTGCACATGCATAGGGTGCTGGTTTTCGCGTGCCCGTAAGCTCGATATATAAGTTGTAGATCTTGTGTTTAGGCGGGGCGCCCTGGAAGAAGCCCGTCCAAGCTTATGTGGAGTGGACTCTTAATGGGAGGCCTTGGGCATGATCCGCGGACATTTCGGAGGTGCGCCGGATACGGCGGGATGAGAGTTCGCCAGTCGCAAATACTGTGGGGCAACTCTGACGGTTGTGGCTGAGGAGATCACTGGCCAAGCGGGCGACCTAGGCGTGACCAGGCTTGCGGGAGATACTAGATACGGAGACCGGGTGATGCAGAGACCGGGTGATGCAGAGACTTCATGATCCAGAGACACCATCATCCAGAGCCTCCATTATCCAGAAACTCCATAATCTAGATCCTCCATAATCCAGAGACTCCATAATCCAGAGACTCCACAGGCCTGTGGCGGCCATGCCATGCGGGGAGCCCCGGCCAGGCACGCGTGCCGGCAAACGGCCACTGGCAGTACAGGCCCTTTGGGTCTTGTAATTGAATGGGTGCAATGTAAGTACCTTAACGAATAACAATTGGAGGGCAAGTCTGGTACCACCAGCCGCGGTATCTCCAGCTCCAAGGCCGTATAAAGCTGTTGCAGATAAAAAGCTCGTAGTTGAATTTCGGGATGGCCCCAGGTGGCCCACTTCTCTGTGACTTCTTTCTGGGACCGCTCTTCCATGGCTTATCCATTTTGGTGGGCCATAATTACTTTGAGTAAACGAGAGTGTTCAAAGCAGGCAAGCGCTTGAATCTATAAGCATGGAATAATGAAATAGGACGATGACTCCATGTTGGTTTCTAGGACCATCGTTATGATCAGTTGGGACGGTCGGGGCATTAGTATTCAGTTGCAAGAGGTGAAATTCTTAGACTTTCTGGAGACGAACTACTGCGAACGCACTTGTCAAGGACGTTAGTGGTGGGTGTGGGTTTATTAGACTAGTTGGATGCGGGCACCCCGGGCGACGTCGGCAGGCCCAGTGCCATGAACCTTAGCAACGACAAGTGCCATCACGACAAGTGCCATCAGCAGCGACAAGTGCCATCACGACAAGCAAACCATCAGCGGAACGACGAGTAGAACCTCTCCTGCCTGAACCTCTCGTCCACTCTCGCAAGCACGTCCGGGGCGTACACCAGGGCCAAGGCCTCGCCGCCCTTCAAGACCCGTTCCTCGTGCAGCTTCTGCTCGTCCTTCGTCATGACCACGATGTTCTGGAACAGGAGCTCGTGCGCGGGGTCCCAGCGCGAGAGCGTCAAGCGCGTGGAGTAGCTCGACACCACGGACTTGCCCCGGAACACCTCCTCCACGATGTAGGGCACGTCGCGGAGGCTTATGGGCGTGCGCTGGTCGGGGCGGCCGGTGCGGGCCTGCTGGCCGGCCAAGCTCTGGAGCACGCCGTCGTAGACCTTGATGCGGTTCTTGCCCTCGACGTACTCGGTCGGGTAGCCGGCCACGGAGGTGAGGATGTGCGTGGCCACCGCAAGGCCGAACATGCCGGGCATGGTGCCCAAGACCGGCAAGATGCGCACGCGGAAGTTCAGCAACGCCGCGAGCTGGTCCACGTCGCCGCGGGCGGCCTCGGCCGGGTCCAAGGGCAAGAGCCGCGCCTTGCGCGGGTCCGGCTTCTCGGCACTGAACACCACCGGGATGTTGTCGAGCACGCCGCGCTTGCCCAAGCGGATCCGCACGGCCCGCGCCAACGGGTCCTCCTCGGTGCGCAGGAGGTCGGCGATGTTGATGCGCGTGGGGTCCGCCTTGCACGCGGCGCCGCCCGACGACACCACCGCGAGCCCCCGCTCGTGGCAGAACGCGAGGAGATCCACCTTGGTGTCGATGTTGTCGATGCAGTCCACCACGAGCGTGGGCCGGAACGCGCCGCCCAAGAGCAACTGCTCGCCGCACGCGGCGTCCCAGAGCTGGTTGCGCACCTGGACGTCCGCCCACGGCGCCACGCGGGCGAGGTGCGTGCGCAAGCACTCGACCTTGGGCGTGCCCACGTCCTGCAACGTGGCCACCGCGTGCCGGTTGAGCGAGCTGAGCGACACCTGGTCGAAGTCGATCACGCGGAGCGTCTGCACGCCGGAGCGCACCAACATGGTGGCCACCCACGAGCCCACGCCGCCGGCGCCGACGACCACCACGCGCTGCCCGCGCACCTTGGCCATGCCTTCCTCGGAGAGAAACGCGTAGTTGCGCGCGAGCTGCTCGCGGATGAGCTCCTCGGAATGCGGTTTTTTGCCCGTGCCCGGGCTGCCGGCGTGCGGCGCCGCTGGCGGCTTTGTGTCGTGGGGGCACGGCGGTTTTGTGTCGTGGGGGCACGGCGGTTTTGTGTCGTGAAAGTAGTGGAACGCCTCGACTGCGGCGACAGAGACGAGCGCCGTGGCGGCCACGGCGAAAGCCAACTTGGCGGGCGAAGACATGTTCTTGGAATGTGAGTCGAGGGCAGCGGGCCTGCGGGCGGGGGTCGGCCTGTGCCTGTGGTGAGCTATTGGACGGGCGAGCTGGTGGATGGGTGCTCTGTAGGACGGGCCGGCTGGGGCCCGAGAGAATTTGTCTTCGCGGCGTTCATCGCGATGGGCCAGCGCCGAAGTTTGCATACTGCAAAAATGCCTGCCGGCGGGCCGGGGCTTGCCAACGGCGGCGCGGGCTGGGCAGTGCCTGTGGCTCTCTGCGTCTGTGGCTCTGGGCCGGGCAGAAAACCGGGGTTTCTGCGGCAGAGTTGTTCTATGCTCGGCACCTGGGTGGTGCTTCGACTGCAAAATGCGGTGCTTCGACTGCAAAACGCGGTGCTGCGACTGCAAAAATGTCGCGCCGGCCGCGCTTCTCCAGCACCGGCTCGCCGGGGCGGGCTTGGTGGAACAGGCAGTGTTTGTTGGTTTTTGGGGTTTTTTTTGTTGTTGTTAGTTTTTGTTTTTGTTGTTTTTGTTGTTTTCTGTCTTTTTGTTGTTTTCTGTGTTTTTGGTGTTTTTTCGTTTTTGTTGGTTTTGTTGTGTTTTGTTAGTTTTGTTGTGTTTTGTTAGTTTTGTTGTGTTTTGTTAGTTTTGTTGTGTTTTGTTG